ATTTTGTTACTTTGAGGAAACTTGTTTGAGACAATTGTTCGAAAGCATCGCAAATGTTGTTAGGAAGTTTGCAATGTTTTGTGCAACTATTTACTAGACTGAAGTGATCGAGAAACTGAATGAATTATTTGTTGGAAAGACTCCGTTCTCTATTAGTAATACAATAAATAGCATTGCGTTGAAGAGTTTTTCTCGATTGGAATATAAGAAAATGGAAGCCGTCGAACTCACAGCAAAATACTCTTCAAGAGTGATATTATACAAACACTGCTTTGATTTGAATGAACTGGAAGCATTCAACGATTCACTAACGGTCGTACAATTCGTGTAATCAATAACTACTTCTTTACCTGTAAACGTGAACAGTTACGACTAAAATAGCTCTCGAATTCTTCGAACCAAATTCAGTCATTTATAGAAGCAAGCAATCTGACGTTGGCAAATAACAGTTTTAGTTGAACTGATTCGAAAACTGTTGAGATGAAACAATTTGGGCGCACTACTTCATCGCCACCGTGACTCATGATGAAATTATCCCTTTCAAGAGATCAAATTTGCTCAAAACGATTAATTTTCACATGGATATCAACAGGCTTTGAGGCCATGAAATGTTCAGATGCCACAGCTTTAGCTATCGGTTATTTTGCCGACAGTCATTCATGTTGAAAAGACGCACACTAACGGCACATTAACTGGCACACTAACTGGCTGTTGCAGCAAGATATAGAATCACTCCAATGCATATGAACACAGCACCGACCACGAATGTGATCGGTATCGCACAGCGTGCAGTCAACAGAGGACGATATGCTGGAAGTGCTTGCTGACGCCATTTAGCTTCTGAAATTACAAAAAAGACACATGATGATAATGTTCGAGGCTCGTTGATACGCCAAACACATGCACAATTTGTACGTATATGTGAAATCCTGATGAAATGAACTTAACAAAAAGATTTGGTGCAGATATATACATGTCTGATGATAATATGACCACTTTTTGTGGCAAATGTTTATTCACTGTCACCTGAGAACAGCTTATTGTTTTAACGTTACAGGATTCAGAAAATGTTTCAGTCGATTTTTTCAGTCACTCTAAATACGAGTATATCTTTGTGATCTTTGCTGAATGTTTCGTTTGCTTCGATTGCTTTATTGCATTGAACACAGTTCAAATAAAGAAAATTTTATGAAAAAATGCAGAAAAGCGATTTTGAAATGGTAAATAAGCTGAAAATGTTACACTGAATGTCACAAGATGAGTGTTTGAGGGAGTAATGCAAACTATGGAGTCTACATCAGCTTAGAATTGAAAACATTCGTTTACTTGTTGTCAATAACCAAGACGGATAGCATTCAGTTCTCCAACAAATCACTCTCGAATGATCGCGAAGAGAATCAGCAAAGGATCAGAAAACAATTGAATTTCATTAGAGGTGCAGTCGTCAGATTATTTGAACAGCTATCGATATGCAAGAAGAACGGAAACAAAATTCTCCAACAACATATTCACCATTTGGTTTATTGCGATTGCCACGTCGCCTTGGGATATTAGCGACTAAGTCTGGCATTGCATCGTTTTTCGATTATCAAGGTCACTTCAAATTTTTGTTGGTCCCTTTTGAGAGGTCATTCACAGAATGCCTGTTCGTTGGAGTGAATCCGAATCCGTGAGAAGCTGATTCCGCTGAAATCAGTCCACATTCATAGAACGGGTGTTCGTTAGATTGAACTCGAATAAAAAGCAATCCTGCGTTTGAGAAAATCCCCAACAAAAAGATCTTGTGATCAGCTACTTCACAAGGCACTCGCTATGAACCGAGTGCATTTCGCATTTATGCAAACACAGATACGATTCCTTTTTTTGCTTTTCAGCAATATTTTGTCCACCGTACTTATAAGCAGATCGACGCAAATGTAAGCTTAGATCATTTGAGAAAATTATTGAGAAAGTGAGAGCATTTCTCTGAAACATTTGTCAACAATACATATCTTCACATTCAAGCATTAGAACTAAACCAGTTCATCTTTATTCTATTCGTTTTTACTCAACGCATTTATCTCTATTCAATTAAGATCACATGGATGGCTCGAGAGCGATTTGGAAAATAGCAAATGCTCAAAATTTACATGAGAAATACATTGTGATGACATGATAGCATTGTTGAACATGCAATATGATGGTGAATAACGTAGTGACGAGTCTGCATCACGCATCCTGATCAATCAATATTGCTGAGCAATGCTCTCATCAAACACATGATTCACCTTCATACTAATAACACCAACGGTAATAGCAATTTTTAGTGACACTATAATTGTACATACTGAAATTCAAATCAAGCATCGCCGTAATGGCAAACAAACCATCGCCACGTTTGTTTCATCGGCAACGTTAGAGGAATTATAAATTGTACACCAACAATATATAAGCAGTAAACTAAAGGTAAGCAGTAAAACGATCGAATTTCACATGATAAAATTTTCTTTA